CCTGGGGCAAGTCTCTGTCCTGCTCCCCGCTGTCCTGCGCCAGCACCAGAAGGAAGCACACCTGGAGCGCTGGGCTCAGCCCTCCAAAGGGGGCGTTCCGGCGGTGACCGGCCTCGATCCTGTCCTCCCCTGCTCCTCCTCCGCAGCAGCCAAGGCCCGAGTGAAACCCAGCTGAGGTGGAATCCCAGCGTTGGATAAGCTGGATGACCTCTGGCAAGTGACAGACCTATCTGAGCCTCAGTTTCCCCCTCAGTAAAACTGGGACAACAGGCCCTGGCTCTCGCTGATAACGGCAGGCCAAGCCCTCTGCTCCCTGTCCAGCTCCGTCAGCAAGTGCTTGGTAGACTTGCCGGGTTTTCCAGTCTCCAGGGAGTCTGTGGACCCAGGTACATCAGTAACTGACACACAAGCATCGGCCCTCCCCATTCTTCACTAAAGTCCACCCCTGGGGCCAGTCTCACTGATGGCCTAACGCATGCACGGTCAGGAAGGAGCATGGTGCATAAGTCTATCTATTGCCATGGGAACAAGATACCCCCTGAAGCAGCGGTGAGGAACATCCAGGCTCCAGCCTCAATGAACCCTCTACAAGGGAAGGGAGAAGGGAAGTGGCCCAAGGGCTGACACTGGAAGTGGCTGGGCACCCAGAACAGAAGAAGGTCCAGCCCGAGCTCAGACTCAAGGCTGAAGGAGAGGATGCAGACACGTCAGATACCCCAGCCAGGCAGGCAGAGTAGGGCTGGGGCTAGGCCCTGCGGAGGGTCCCTGACACACTCCGGCCAAAGGTAGGAGCCCAGGGCTGAGCTAGCTGCCTCCCCTGGGGCCCGGGCTGAACAAGAAAACAACAGCTGTGTCCCCATGTAAAGGAATGCCTTGTGCCTACAGGAAGAGTTTGAATGTGGCAATTCTAATTGCACAGCAAGGATACAGTGTATCCCAGAGGCCAGGCTGCTAGAAAGTGAAATTCACCAAGCCCAGGAGAGGGCCTGCTCCGGAGCCTCTGGAAATAGTTCAATAAGAATCTTACATATTTCACCTAAGCCTCTGATAACTTTTTGACAAAAACAAACAAAAACCCAGTCCTGAAGACCCCCCCACCCCGCCCACCCACGGCAGAGGGAAACACGTAAGTCAGTGGGGCACGGTGGGAAACAGGGCAGGAGAGGCCTATGGCTGGCGCCCAGGTACTTGGAAGGGGTTGAAGAAGGCAGATGCAAGCCAGGGCGAGGGTTTGGCATGCCAGGGCTCCCCAAGGTGGCAACACCTAGCACAGAGCCCAGCACACCGCATACCCTGTGTGAATTAGGAGCATGATAGATGCTCTGGAATCGGTCTAACGCTGTGCCCTGGCAGCAGAAGAGAGCCAGCACATTCTCAGGCCTTGTGAGGCTAGCTCCCTAGGCCCATGTTCCAGGACCTGGTGCTGCCTGGAATTCCCGGAGATTCCTGTGGTCTGGGGCCTGCCAAGCTCACAGGGAGTGCCCAGGCTGCGAACAGGGAGGAGTGGGGGCTTTGTCCAAGGTGACACCTGACAAAGTCCTCCCCCGCTGCCTCGGGGGCAGGGCCTGGGCTACGTGCGGCCTGCTGGGAGTGCCCTCTGGACCCAGTTAGAACCACGTCTGCCTGTGTCCCTCAAGTGGCACTCAATCTCTGTGGGTGCAAGCCAGCAACTGGAAAGATCACAGAGAGGCCTCGGGGGTAGGGGACGTTCAGGGGGAGGGGGACAATGGCCGTACAACTCCAAGAACACCCAGGTCCTTGAATCCTGCAAACAGAAAATGCTGAGTTGGTGTGTGCTCTCACAATTGCAGGAAAAACCAGAGGCCCAACCCCGCTTTGCACACACCAGACACGAGGGAGGCTCAAGCACCCCCATTCCGCAGTCAGAAGCATCCGCTCACCCAGAGTCCCGGGGCGAGAACTTGGATTTGAACCGGGGAGGACCGGTTCCCAGGCCTGTGCTCCCCACTGGGGCCCACCGATAGTGCCCTGAACACATTATCTGCAAGCCCACGTGAGCAGCTACAGGCTGAGCCAGGAACTGTCCCACTGGGCACGCCTCCCAGAGCGCAGAGGGCTATGTCGACACCAGCCACTGTACCTGAATGCTCACGGTAACACCTGTCTGTCGCCATACTCAGAACCCATCCTCACAGGAACCCACTGGGCCGTGGACGGGAGCCAACTCCGGGATGCGTACACTAACCTGCACACATCTCCTGACACAGCGCTGCATGGAGCCTATCTCCACAGGTTAGAGCACAACTCAGCGCCACTGAGTCAATTCTGACTCGGAGACCCTCCCTAAGGGACAAAGTAGACCCACCCCTGCGGGTTTCCAAGGCTGTGATTCTTGACAGGAGTGGAAAGCCTCATCTTTCTTCTCCCAACGAGAGGTTGGTGGTTTCAAACTGCTGACCTTGCGGGTAGCTGTCCAACACAGACCTTGGCATGCTATGCCGTCAGGGATGCTGCCACCACAGCACAGACCATACCAGGGCCCAAACTCACTGCCGCCAAGCGGCTGACTCATGGCACCCTTGCACCCGATGGCAACGTTACAGAACTGAAGGGCAGGTGTGTGGTTGCCAGGGTGGGGAGAAGGAAGTGGGCGTGGCTATAAAAAGGTCACAGGCCACAGGGCCCCTGGTGGTGGAATGAATGCTCAGTGTCTGGACTGTCCCCATGTTAGCTTGCTTCCTGTATCAGAATTTTGCAAGATTTTGCCACTGAGGGAAAGGGGATGAAGGGTACTATCTCCACAGCACGTGAACCTATAATTAGCTCAAAACTTTAATTTTAAATATTAAAAGAAAAAAAAAGGCCTGTTCACAGGAGGACTAAGCACCAGGAGTAGATTGTGCTGCGTGTAAACCTCATCCCCAGTGGGGATGGATCAGAATGCAAGTGAGTGGATGGGTAAGGGCCAAGTGGGCCGGTGGGGGGGTTGCTGTGGGGTTGGGCACCTGACCTTCACCTCGAGCCTGTCCCTGGACATCCAGGTCCTCATATCCCAGGCTGCTGGAGGGCTAACCTGGTGCACTGAGAGGCCC